GTTCCCATACCCCATACATATAATGCCTAAAGGGATCAAGACGAAGTTTGAGCGTCTGAGCATCCAAAGTCTCTTCCTAGCCAGAAAAACTAATCCACATGTCCAGTGCCACACAGTAGATGAACATTGTTGTAGTCGAGTCATTTTAGGAAAGCGTAACTTGGCACGAATGTTCGACGCGGTCCAAAAGTTTTGAAAAAGGGATATAGGGATCTAATAAAGGAATATTGAGATTTTGAACTCAACCTGTACTACTGTATTTTTCTTCACGCGTAGTGAACAAGATGAGTTACTCTCATCTCTTGAACATACACCAGCTGCACAAGGTTACCAATTTGGGATCAATATACAGAATAACGCACCTAAGCGAGCATGACGCTTCGCGTCCGTGAAATGCGGGACTGCTCCACCAACACCAACCACAAACACGTGCTCGATATTTTGGAAATTTCCCAGCAGTCTGAAAAAAAATGTTGAGAAAAGTGTGCTGTTTTGTGGTACAAAAGGTTAGCTTGAAGCTGAAGGAACTATAAACAAAAGGGTAGAAATAATTGAGAGGACATACCTTGTCGTTATAGAACCTGCACTGGTAGTCGCTTCACGGGTATCCCCAATGGAAGCAAGTTTGGTAGCCACAACACGATGATTACCAATACGGCCCATTGAGTAAACATTCGAGTCGCCGCCAGATTTATACTGAAATTAAGACATTCTCAAAAAAACTTGGTCTATACGCGATTTTTCGCAAATCTTGGCGGTTAGCCACCAAAAGAAGCGCAGGTGGTCGGCAGTTCCTCCCTACTAGATAGTCGCTGCCGAATGAGATCTTATCCTGACTGCACCGCTCACTTTGCACCGCAAGCATCCTCTGCTTATAAGGCAACTTATCAGCACCGAAATCAAAAAGGGCACGACAAACGAAAACATGTGGACTGTGAAATAATCCAATGAAGAAGAGAAAAAAAGACACACCTTGTGTAAAACAGATCGCTCCTCTATCAAAGCATCAACGGCCTGTTTTTCAACAAACAGGCACGTTATGATCGCAACTGTCGGCTGATCTTGTGGACCTAAAAAGAGCTCATCAAACATCTGCGAATTTATTCAACAACAGCTGAATGAGCCACCTTAAAAGTGTTGACTAAGCCCTTCCCCTATAAAATAAGCTACTGAATCTAGTTCGGCAATAAATTTGACTCGATTAGCTTGGTAGTAACATAAATTTCAATTTACCATGCACAGCTCGAGCGACTGCATCGACATTTCGCGTGTCTACCCTGAGCCATTCATCATCTACGCGGGTTACGATTCCCAAAGCTTCCAATTCGCCAAGATACCGTACCACTTCTTCTTCAGTGGCCCTGAACAAGCTCTTTCGAATTTGAGATTCATCGACGGACCTACTGTGGCACCTGGAGGAACATGAACCAAATTTATATCGTTCAAGATTTGGAGACTTTATCACTGTCATGCTTTTTCCAACATTCCGAATGGATTTTATTATAAAACATCTTTTACAAAAAAGACTACTGATGTGAATCGTACTTCAGTCATAGTTTGCGTAACAAGCTTTTGGCGTAATTCGAGAAATTTTACAAATAATGTCAGAGGCTTATGAGAAGCTGATTCGAGAATCTCTCGAGTGCCATTCTATTTGAAGAGCGATTGGCCGGCTCTCGCATTCTGGATGTATTTGCGTCGCCAAACGCACGTTTTATTTTTATCGATCGCCAAATGTCACTAGACAAAAAATTGGATTACATTCGCGGGCTCGCGAGCGGAGTATAGTCAACTATTACGGGTGAGAGTCGCTTCGAAAGATATTTTATCTTCCAAAGCCAGATCCGCTACCTCGATGCAATATGAACGATTCACGGGTAACTGTGGCCCGATCAACGAACAACTACAATAGTGGATGCGCCGGGAAACACTCGATCGCCCCCGCGTTAGTCGTTTTCGGACTATACTGATTTTTTTATTCGTTTAGCCGCCGAGACTACATCTTGCGATGAGCAGTTCACGCCACAATGTTACGAGAGGGAAGAAGAAATTGGGCGGCGGCACGCCTTTTCCGAACACTCACAGGCATAATTATAGTCGCGTGAGGAAAGAACGAGTCGAAGAGGGAGCTCCGGAATAAAGGTGCAGGAAAGGGCTACGAAACTACTCACTGCTTGGTAGGAGTTCGCTCATTTATTTACTTATTATGCTTAAAGGCGCACCAAACCGTCCAATTAAAGTAGTGAGGGCTAAACGAGGAACAAGAAAAAGCTCTGAGAAAAGAAAAGAAACAAAAGAAAGAGTAAGTAAACGACTAGTCCAACAAATCTAATTTGTTCTATACTGGGTCTTTGAAGCTCAATATCCCACATAGTAATCACATGAGCACATCATGCAAGCCTCCTACAGTGTAGATGAAATGGGAGCCGCGCAAATATTGGTATTAGTAAAATTTACCTGAGCGCTTCGGCCATGACAGGTACACTAAGTCCATTGGGGAAAGCATGCTCAAGCAATTCTTGAATATGTCCTACAGTGACTTCTTCTACTTCCGAGCCCGAATCTGTAAAATAATCGTCTATCGCTCAGAAAAAAATCAGGGCGGATCTCTCTAATCTTCCCCTTACCATATTGTGCAGCGTCAGGTATCGCGACCTGTTCTTCTTCACTGAGGAGTTTAAATTCGATGTCGACACGTTGAATCTCAGCAAACTCATGCTGCATTTGTTTCAATATGCGCATCATGAACGAAACGTAATCTGAACAAGTTTCGATTGCGCCTGGAAAATCACGGAAAACCAGCTCCGAAGATTACCTTTGGGGAAACCAGACATGAGCTGTTTGAAGAAATTGTGCACTACTGAACGACCATGCTGCAATTCCACATCATTTCGCAACGAAAACTTCAACGTTCGCTTCTCCTGCAATTGTAACGACAGTCACATTCTTGAATTCAGCAATTTATAAAGGCATAGAAAGAAGGAAAAAAAGGTTGATGAATGGAGGTAAAGGCGCACTGAGGTAGCACACTACTCGAGGGGACTTGATAGAGGTAAAGGGTAGTTACTAGAAAATTAAAAAAAAACTTGGTGAACAATATGCCAGTCTCGTGCACCAGAATATAACTCAGGGTAAAGGCAAAACAAAAATGAATCAAGCCTTAAAAAGATGGAACTAGTACCTGCTTCCTACTATTTCCATCACTGAGCCACACAGAAAACGATAGCTCTACGTGGTTAGAGCAATCTAGAATCATTGAATTAGTAACAACAAGCATTCAGAGGAAAGGGAACCCGTTAAATGATTGGAAACTATTATTTTTATTCGAAAAGTAGAAAGCATCGTAAACGTAAGTAGACTAATATTGATAATCAAAATCAGCATAATCTACCATAAACAATGTGCTGACATCAGAAGATGCTGCCGGGTGCCACATACAGCAGTCACCTGCTAGGGATAGAAAAAGAATGACTCTATTTCCCCTAATCTCCCCCCCCCCCTCAATCACCAGACTGTCCCCAGGAAGAGCATACTTTTGACATCTGTGTGTAAAAAATATGCTGAAAGTGGAAGAACTATGACATGAAAACATCAGCCTGAGGGGACCCCGCGCCACCATCCTGGATAAATTAAAGCTACTTTGACCCAAGGGCACTCAGCAAACCTTCGAAGGCAGTGAGTTTCCAATAATGTTCAATATATAAATGAGCAAAAAATGAACAAGTCACCAGCGCACTCAATGTACTATTATACATTGAAGAGATTAATTCTCAGACAGAAGGGCGTCCATTTTCCTACTTCGTTCGATGAAACTTTTTTTGAGAATCATTTCACAATATAAGCGTTTCTTTTATGAAACTAGTTTCAGCGCAGAGATGCAGCATAAAGCAAAAAAGATAACATGGTAGAACAACGAAAGAAAGCTCACCTCCAGGACCATGTTTGCAGAGCTTATTGATATCAATGTCCGGGTCATTGGTCCGCCGCCGCGCAAATTAATAATTTAATCTCCCGTGTTTCTCTATCCCTTGTTCTCTAAAAAAAACGTTACGCGAATATAAACCAGAGATACCATCTATTTTCTGAACTAAGAATGAAGTTTTCGGTGTCGACAATCGTTTCTGTGATCGGCGGCCATGCCACCCTACTTCCCTTCAAAAACGCAGTGGCTATTATATGCAATTCTTTTAAATGACTCGCAAAGTCAGCCAGCAGTACAACAGGGTGCCTTATTCCTCTCAACAGTACCAATTCACCAGACCAAGAGGGAAAGAAGGCTTGGTTGCTCTGGATGGCGTACGATCTAAGTTGCCCCGATCCGTGCGCGTGGGGCGCCATCTGCCGCTACACTCCTCCCCCGCGAATTTTTTCATAAAAAAGATCGAGCACGTGCGCGTGCGAATGGCGGCATAACTGAATATGTCTGTGATAAGCAGCCTAGCATAAAGAACATGCCGTTTCGCAGTCTTTCATTGATCTCTACTGTTTCCAAAATATTCTCAACGATAATTACACAGACGTGCGCATATCGCTGATTCAAAAAAAAAATGTGGTTTACGCGAGACTTTGCACACCAGCCCGCCTGGAATAACGTGACAAATAGCTGGCCTTGACAAAAGAAAAATCCGAGAAATCATTGAGAATCCCTTCTTCCATTTTGGAACATCCGCATACTTTCGACCCGTTACTGCATAAAGATTGAGGGAATTAATGTGCATTATTATTGAAGAGATCCATCCTCACTACGAAACGCCTTTGAACTAATAAACAAAGAGCTTTTTAGAAGCAGTTCAAACCAATCAATCAGAAAACGAAGACCATAAACTATGAAAAATAAAACAATAAAAATTAAAAATAATTGCGGTGAAATCAAAATAATGCCACTTTGTTGGCATAATCTCCAGCAATTTTGCACTTATATACAAGCAGTCATCACCCGAAATCGAAGCGCCCCAAGAATATCGACAAAAATAAAGCTCGCGTGTAAGAACTAACAGTCGCGTGACATTTTTTTATAGATTTTGCATGAAATGCACTGAGTCTTAGGCGTTAGTCCCTCCGTTACCTAAAGAATAAGAAATGTTCCCAACATAATTTTCGGCATTGCAGCGAATCACAACGCATGGATAGGTCAAAACAAACAACATTAAACACGTTGAACAGACCGCGCAGGGGACCACAATACGTCCCGGCACTTTGCAGGCCATCGACGGACAGCGCGGACGTAGCGTCCTGCTTTCTCAGCACTACTTTTTTCAGCTCTTGTTGTGCAGCGATTACATCTCTCGAGGTCCTTGTATTCATGATCTATGACAAAGCCTTAGCATAGCTACAACATAAGTGCTCACAAATCTCCCCTTAGCTCTAATTGTAATGAGGAAATTTCCTAACCTTTACAAACATTCCCTTTAGTTGATTTCGTCCCCTTTTTCATTTTCCTATGAATTTGAAAGACCATTAAAGAGTCCTTAGAAGTGATTGAACATAAGCGATGATAACAACATGGTATTAGTCTATACAATTTAATAAAAATCGCTTTTGGCGTCCATTGCTGCTAGGTCTGACAAATTTTGCTTTTTCATCGTTATTTAACGTCCGTCTTCTGATCGAACTTCCACTACTGGACTTCTGGATAGCTTCTACCTACAGGAAGTTGACGGTCTAATTTTGCATAACGTCATTTTTTTGAATTTACCACCCAAAATCCGCTTAAATGACCTGAGGCTGTCGCGCCGCGAAAATCGCGCCGGTCCCACGCGGCCAAAAAAGCCAAAACGTGCGCTTGTCGTCAACGTGTTAAATTATACAGCGACAGGTAAATTCCACATAGTTCTTCATTATACTCAAAAATCACAACAGGTGCGGCAAGATTCAAAATTTTCTAATCCATTAAAAATGGGTACAACAGCGTCAGTTGTTTGTATAAATAACTGCGAAGAATGAAGTAGCAAAAAGTGAGTCACGGAGAAAAAATGGTATTACAATGTCTGCTAGACAGTAAAGTTTAAAAAATTGACTTTGCTTTCGAGATGAGAATTTTATGCGAAAAAGCGAGCACTACATCCTTCTTTTTGACCCACATGTTTCTGCTGATATAAAATTGTATGAGAATGAAAATTACTAATTTTTACTTACTATTTTTTTTACTCGAAACCTCTTACTTATTGCAGTCAAGGTGTATACGCTGACCTTTCACCGTAACACTTTCATAATCTTTGAAAAAATGAAAAGTGAAAAAATCTTTGAACTCCTTCAAGAGTCTATGCTCGAATCCCCCCCCCCTCAACGAGCGACTAATTCGCGAGAAGCCCATCGAATTTCATGTGGCCTTTCAATCAGGACTGGGCAATCCGAAGCGTATATAAAGTACGGACTAAACACAAAAAACGTCTGAAGGTATGAAATATTTTACACAAAAACTCCGACGCGTAAAGTACACCTTCTTCCTTATCCTTGGTTAGAGGTCAACATATAGTACCAGGGTTTATCAACTTATCCCATTAGGAAGAACAAAAACATGAAACATTTGTTTTCTATTCAAAGCTAGTTGGGGTTGTACTGTTGCAGGTTTGAGGTTGTAATAGTGCAACGGCATCAAAAAATTAAATGCTTCACGATTCATAGCGATGATCGGGCGTAAGGCGCATTCCTCGTGGTCGCTGACAACTTTATTTTATCTAATTCTATTAACAAAAAAAAAAAACTTTTGTCTATCCAGCAGGGGCATCATGATTCCAGCTTTCGGCGAGCAGTACACTTTGAACAATTCCAAGTCTTTTTCAACGCATGTCAAGTGACTGCCCTCATCCCCACCCTCCTTAACTTTCTGGAAAAACTGCATCATGATGCCCCCTAACTGGGATAGACTCAAATTTTTTACCTATGAACTACGACGACATTGTGACTGGGGCTCTGCTTGATGGGAGTGAGCACGACAAGCGACGAATAGGCGACCATTTGATCGTGGGCGAGGTCGTTTTCGAACGGATGAGATCGATGACGTGTCGCCCGACTTCTGAATAACTCCGCTATTGCCGCTCCGGTGTACATAAAGGTGTCAAGTGGAGCGAAACGCGGTATAATTCAAAATCGATTCGTCGCGACTCAACAAAAACTCGCAGGAACACGAGAGAGTGATCGTATAAAAACTGCGGGCCACGGAAATACGCGAGAGTAATCGTGTAAAACAAGACATAAAAAGGCTCTGAAATTAAAACGTCGAATGACCTGAAAAAAAAGTCCGAAAAAAATAGCTGAAAGAAGAAAGCGGGGGTTTTGGTTGAGAGAGTCGCTTAAGGCCACTTTTGTAGGTCCAGCTTTCCATTTTAATCAATTTTACTGTAGATATGTATGCAGTTGCTTACGAATAAAAAGGAATGCAATAGTAGTGGATCCATGGGAAGGTGGGGGGGGGGGTGGGAGAAACGAACAAAAGCCCTGCTCGACAATAGTAGGCGCGACGTGGACTTATTGGCGATTAACGCCGTCATGTAAACCATGTTTTGCCCTGTCAATCATGTTTTGACACGTGAAGTAAACAAGTAAATGAGTTTTTGAGAGAGGAAAAACTACCAAACAACAAAAATCCAGAAATAAATAAAAACAAAATTCAGCCGAAACTAAAACCGAAGGCACTTAACAAAAGGAACACTTAAAAGCACCGAAAGCGTTGGCGGAATTCTCATCACCTTTTTATAAACAGAAAAGACCAAAATCAATAAATCGCAAGTAAAACTACTTTTTGATATTCTGCGAAGGACCGAGAAAGTAGCAAAGTCAACAAACTTTCCAGCGAACCTGGATTGCTATAAATAATCATGCGGCTCTACACGCT